CAACTGGATCTGTTACGACCCCATGTCAAATTATTCCAAGAAGAGACCAAGGACACATTTGATTATCACCAATAGATGGAGATTTAATTCATTTCACCGGGGAAAATGTACTTTTCGCATTGCCTCCAGACTAACCTGTGGCGTTGAGCCCTTGACTTATGGTAGTCTTTGGTCACCACCTTCTACTAGACTATTGAACCATATGATAAAATTGATAAAATAAGTATTATAACCGACGTACATCCAATGTATTCGATATTGCCAAGCGTTTGTGATATGAGAACACCAGTTCACCTATTCTTTCCTGTCTAGTGTTTATACCGAGAACATAATGTAAAGCTCTTTCTCTGAAATTTCTTTTAGATATGCACATTTCTCCTGCAGAATCTTGCTGGCTACATGCTAAAGTTCTTAAACTAAAAACATGTGGATAACATCCAAGTGGAAGTTTTAAATTTTACTGGTCTATTATTCACTGCTTCCGCATTAAAAATGTTTTAATGTTTTAAAATAAAACATTTAACAATATTGTAAAATGTTACATACTTTTGACATATGAGCGTTTATTTCATTTTTCAAAATTTATCCACTTACATTTGTTACACAATACATGCATACATATGTATGTACATATGTATTTATCATAACATAATTTATTTTTTGCTCCATCCTTTATTTCTAATATTTTATTATTTCTTGTATTTTAAATTGTCTATATTAAATTATTATTATTACACTCTTTCGGTCTTGTAGACCTCCGCAAGGCATTCGCTTGCATCCGTCGAAACTTGTTTATTGTTGTAAAACAATGTAAAATGAAATTTCCTCTTCTAGTCGCATTAAATATTAAACTTTTTAATCCATACGACTTTAAATTAGTCGCCAACAAAATATAAATTAGTAACGAAAATAAAATTGAATATAAAAATCCCAGAAGAAATAAAAAAAGAAAATTAGTATAAAAGGAAAATAAAAATATAAGAAAGACACTGGGGAATGGATAAGAGACGATTTAATAATGAGCTACGCATGATGGCGGACAACGACAAAAGGAGATACAATTTCATTTTAAAACTAAATTTAAAGAATTTAATAGTCCTTACCAACAATCTTTTCCATCCAATTTACTTACACAATATTATTTTAAGTCATTATTTTAACACGGCGAAGACATTGCAAGCAAGTACTTACCACGCACGCTTACAAATAGGGAGTTAAATAAGTACTTACCATGATCGCTTGCTTATAAGGAGGGGAGTAGGTAGTTTTGTTTTTGAAAAAATAGCTTCTGCCAATAGTTTCCACACAAGGGTAAAAAGTAAGTACATACATAGTTATTTGTAAGTCATTACTAGACTCCTTCTAAGTAATGCAGACGTTATGTAGTTGTCATTAAAAAGAAAACTACATGACATTACCATGTTTTTGTTTAAGTCTATATTCAACAGGCATGGGGGGTAATGATTACACAAAGTAATTAATTACAAGGTCAATTACAATTACAAGTAATGTGTAATTGAACAATAACCAATTACAATTAGTTGTAATTGTAATTGAAATTTTTCCAATTACAATTACTTGTAATGTGTAATTGACAAATAACTAATTACAATTATTTGTAATTGTAATTGAAGTTTTGCCAATTACAATTACTTGTATTTGTAATTGAAATTTTCAATTACAATTACTCGTAATTGTAATTAAGGTATTACTAATTAAAAATTACATGTAATTATAAGGAACAAAATTCACAATTACAAGTAATTGGAATTGGAATTTCTTCAATTACAATTACAAGTAATTGTAATTGGCAAAACTTCAATTACAATTACAAGTAATTGTAATTGGCAAAACTTCAATTACAATTAAAAATAATTGTAATTGGCAAAACTTCAATTACATGTAATTGTAATTGGTAATGCTTCAATTACAATTACTTCAAATGTAATTGTAATTGAAAATGTAGTCATTACCCCCCAAGCCTGATATTCAATATGTCCACTCAATTCTCGCGAACTGTAGGGTGATAAAGAAAACAAAACTAATCAGAGCCAATTATATTGAGTTGTTTTTGATGCTGTTGGCTCTGTTGCGAAAGAATGAATGAATTGTATTGCAAATAAACCAGAATAAAAAGACGCTATTTATAAGAAGAAGATTGGCTGTTGCGTTGAGAATTTCGTTAAAACAGCCTGTGGTTGTTTACAGTTCAGCGTGAAAAATCGTTGGCTTAACTCAAGAAAACTTTTCATACTTTTTTTTCCACAACGAGTATTGTATTTTTTCATCTTCTATTTTGGCTTGCTTCCAAAATTGACGCTATATAGTAAAAACTTTGCAACAATTCAGATGCAAAAATGAGAGAAAACAAACTCATTGCTGTCGTACTTGCAATTCATTCCTTCACTTAAACTTGTACTGAAAGCCAATTGCCTGTGGTAATGATAGAGGTACAAGTATTTGAAATAAAGTTTTACGTATTTTGTCCTTTTCGGCTCCTTTAAACGTTTTTTTATTTTATGTTTTTGGTGAAAAATTCTATATGGAGTTTAGATTTACTAGCAAATACCAGACAAGATGAATGCTGAAGGGGGAAAATGGTAAGGAAATATAATGCGGATGATATTTTAATTGAAGTAGAACGATGATCCATTTGGATTTGAGTTTAGAAACGCTGCACAGTGTTGAGTTTAATGTTGGATTTTCGAAACAAGGAGGTTCAGTTTCTAAGAGATCAGTTATTGAAAGAAATTAACCATACCCAATGATGAATTAATAGTCCTGCTCTTCATATTTTCCGTTCCGTTAACAGCCTCGACTATCCAATTCCTATATTAAAGATTTATCGTAAACCACGATCAAATATATGCCCGATTATTATAAACCAATAAAAAACTATTGGCCCTTTTTTAGAAGTTATAACAGCGCGAATTTTATATATAAAATGTTGTATAACTTGGAACGTCAGTGCTCTACATATTCTTGTCATCCAAACAACGAGGGAAAAACAGAGGCAATTAATTTTGTAGCTTCTAAACGGTTAGTCAGAATTTTCTCATAACTTCTAAACAGTTAGAGTTTAAGTTTTCTATTTGGACCTCATGGCAACACCACGGACGCAAAAACTACATGTAATCTATTCATTATGGAAGAAGTACATCATTTGAAAATCGAAATTCTCGGTTCTTAGACTGAAGCCATGTTGAAGTTTCAAATTTTTTTCAAACCTATTTTATTATATCTAATATGTATTTCCTCATAAAAAACTATGGATTTAGAATTTCAACCGGTCTAATTATGATTGGATGCCACTACATTATTAGGTCTAATGTGTTGAAAGGAGAAATACATCAAGGTGTGATATATGAAAGAATTGATAGCTCGATGTTCAGAAATTGAGTTTACTGGACGTTGTTCCTTAGAATTTTCCAATCAGTGTTCCTGAGTGACATAATATCAGGAAAAATATCCCTCTTAAGATATTTGAACGAAAGCTTGGCTTTAGCAGAGAAAGTCAGTAATCGACTCAAAATTAGGTTAGGCATAAGAACATGCTGGTGTATAAATCCAAGAAATTATGTTGTTTGGGGTAGTTATCTGGTGGCAGGCGGTTGAAAAAGCAACACTTAGACAACAACTAGAAAAGGATATGAGATCTACTGCACTTCATATCACGGGCGCTCTCAGAAAGACTCCCTCAAAGGCGTTGTTCACTATGCTCAACTGGCTCTCGGTCGACCTTCTAGCCAGACAACTGGCTATGACAACTGCGGTCAGATTGAGTTTAACTGGTAAGTGGAAATACTGTTTAATACGCCATGCTAAGATCATATATCTTATTCCGAATAATCAGTACATTGTTGATTATTGTATCTCTCCTTCCGCCAAATAATTGATTCCGGATGTACACAGACGGTTCCAAGACGACGAAAGGAGTTGGTGGTGGCACTTTCATTGAGGAATTTGGTATGAAAATCTCTTTTCTACATCCAGTATTATCCATGAATGCCGGACATCTCTTAATGAGATGGCGAGACATACGAATCAGATCAGTTTTACGGTGTTCCACTACTCGCAATAAAGAGGCAGATCACTGAAACTGCCTCTTTATAGGTCGTGACAAATAGTCGCGTAAACACACGTACTCAACATCTAGAGCGCTGTGGGCACAAATGGATCCACACAGGTCCAAATATCTTCATGGTCTACAAAGACCACAACTAGGTAGGCTGATATTGATAGTTATTGGCCACTGTAAATTTGGTAATCATGCTAGATGCATTGGTCTCCCATTCAACGACTTCTATAGGAGTTGTCAAAATGAGGATAAAGAAGAGACTATTACTCATTTACTGCGATTGTCCTGCTTTGGCAGAGACACGAATTCGGACGCTTGGATCGGCCTATTATTATGGCCACTGTAAATTTGGTAATCATGCTAGACGCATTAGTCTCCCGTTCAACGACTTCTGTAGGAGTTGTCAAAATGAGGACTATTACTCATCTTCTTTGCGATTGTCCTGCTTTGGCAGAGACCCGAATTCGGACGCTTGGATCGGCATATTATGGCGATCTATCCGAATTGTCAAATATTCAATTGGAACGTCTTCTGGCGTTCATAAATTTGTCAGAATGGGTGTGAACCTTGTTACTCACACTAATTATCCATGGCAGTTTAGGCCTGGTTTTTCACCTCAGCAGTTTCATCTCATCTCCTCTTTCTCTTTGCTACTCTCTCTGTTTTTCTGCTCATCTCTATCTCTCTTTTCTTCTAACAGATATTCTTACAAACCTGTGATAACATAAACTAACCTAGGTTAGGTTAGATATCGTCCGATGTTCAGAAACTCACTTGCCTGAGCGTAATTCCTAAGAATTTTCGTCAAAGGCTTCACAATTACAAAGAAAGTGCTCCAGAGTTTCAGTGTCCTCTCTACATTCGTTTGAATCCGCACATCCAATTTTGTATAGCTGTGCCCGTGTCCACTCGGAATACTTACCATTATACTAACCTCAGACTTGCACATTTTGAGAAGGCATCTCGTCCTGCTCTCGTTAAAGTCGTCCCATATGATATTTATGGATCTACCCACCATTTCATTATTCCAAGAGGCCTTATGAGTTTGTCGTTAAAGTGTTCGAGTCCTTTTCGTAATTTATATCCTTTATTTTATATCCTTTATTTTAACAAAAAAGCTTTATAAAATCAACAATGATTTCTATTACTAGACTTTTGTAATGAAAACCAAGCGTCCTACTCCATGTCCACTGTAAATTTGAAATTGTTAGTATTGTTAGCAAGTGTTAAGCGTACATTTCAGTATGGGTGAAAGGATATAAAACAATTTTTGGTAAAAGTCAACGATGCTACATTAAAAAATCATTTACAGGTGAAGTTTCGCCTCCAATGGCAATGTTTTGTACTATTCAAAATTGAATGTAATTTTAGGGGAAATGTTGTGGTGTAAATGTTGAAATGAATTCTGTTTAATGTTTATTATCGGTTAACAATTTATCTACTTTTGTATTGTTGGCTATTTTCTCAAACAGAGTGTACATTTTCCATGTGTTTAAATGTAATGTTGTAGCTGCTGTAATTATCTGGCAATAGTTATTTTCTCTCTTTGCACAATAATAGAAAAAAAGTCGTTAAAACAACTGAATTTGGTACAATTAAGTTCGAAATTTAACCAACGCCATCGTTAAGTGCTTTTGTTCCGCATCACTATGGAGTCCAATGATTGCGTGTTGTCATCGTTACACATTAGAGTGATTCAATTGTATGGATAAAAACCTGTTAGATGGTTGACTGAATGAATGGATGGGTTGCTAGCAGGCTGGCTGGCTGGTTGTCTGACTTACTTGGCTAGCACACAGGTTGTTTGGTTGGAAGGCAGGCAGGCAGGAAGGCTAGTATTTGTTAAGTTGACAGTTCAACTAGTTGGTTACATGGCTGGCTGTATGTTGTTTGAAAAGTAATAAATATTTGGACACAGGATTGTGTAGTATTGCAGTACTATGTAGTATTGTATTACATTCCATTGTTCCGTCCAGTTCAAAATAAATGTTTTTACTATTTAATGCGTTCGTTGCTGATTGTTGTATGTTTTCTTTGCGTAACCAGAAATTATTCCAAATATGTGTGTGTTTTTTGTGCTTTAAACAACTAGTCGATATTGTTTAATCATCTAAAATACATACAGACATAATGCTGCGGGTATGCAATCAGATGTATACACATACTTGCATATGTATGTACATTGATATAAAATATATCTGGAGTTATTATAAATTATACTTATATAGATTTCAATTTCGTTTTTATGGACCAGTAGATTTTTATACCCTACACCACTATAATGAGGATGTTTGTAACGCACAAAAATATTGATCCTATACCTAATCCTTAGAGTAGAGCAATCGGCTTAGAGTCGTTTTCTGAGTTGATTAAGCCATGTCCAACAAATGCTCCAGACGTCTCTTATAATTTCCGAATTATATTCATTTTTTAAAACCTTTGAAATCGGGAAACAAAAAAATTACATGACTCCCTTGGCTACGCTCATGTCAAATATTATCCTGATCGAACTAGCCGTTTAGAAATACCAGTTTTATTTCAAAAAAATCTATTCCGAGTCGATGAGTCCGTAAAGCATGACACAAGGTATAGGAAGCCTATTGAAAATGGTTAAAATCAGACCATTATTTGATCTAGCCTACAAACACATAACCCCGAATAGGACAATTAGCTCAGAATTATATTAAAATATACAAGTATTCCGACAAAAAGGAGTGCATGCCCTGATTACACTGCCGAATTTCGTAATGATCGGGCCACAGGTCTGTTCTCGTTAAAGTTTTGTTCCCATTAAAAACGATAAACAGACTTATTAGTATTCATCTGCTGCCTCTAAATATTCAGAAGCAATGATTGCACAGGCCAACGAAATGAAGATTTGTAAAGGATTTTGAAACCAATATGAGTTATACATATATATAGGTTCACGATTTCAACTAGCCCCCATTGTGGCCGTTCGGAATACAATTCCTGTTACAAATTTGCACAAATCGGTTTTACGCAACCAAAAGTTATATTGCAATGTATCAGACCATAATTGGCCCTACCTCCATAAAAGTTTCCCTACCGAAAATTATAAAGTAATGAAGTTCGACACAAACAAGTTTTGGTAGAACAAAAATCTCTCTACTAAATTTGATTTATATCACTCAACCTACTCCTCATATAAGATTACCTTCAGAAAATGAAATTCGACAAAAACATGTTTTATAGGAACCAAAACCTTTTTACCAAATATTATGAGGATCTGTCCATAATTGGATCATGACTGGCTTTAAAAGAAAAGTAGAGGTGTGAAATTCGACAGAAATAAGTTTTTTTTCTTAGACCAGCACTCAGGGGATGACCCCTCATGCAGTGCATTGTGCTGGAACTAGGAAAATAAGTTGTGGGAGGGAGGATAGAAGGGAGTAGTGTTTGTGGACATTTGATTTAAACCTTTATATATCGAAAGTGGCGGGGAATACATCTAAAGGAAGTTTGTTCCACGTACGAACAGTGTGGCTGAAGAATGAATTTTGCATGTAATGTGCTGTGCGATCGCACTGGCCAAACGATCACAAATTGGTGTGTTCCCATAAGTATGGATGGGCCAATATTACCTGCCATGCGTTTATGTGTTAAAAAACAACATTGAGTCTTCCAGGGCGTTAAAATCGACTCTGTTAACATGATCCCATTCGGAGATTTTTATCAAGTCGTGATTGAGCGATTCATTCATATTGCGCCTCATTGCCCCAATCTCTAGAGGCCTTGGCCTATAATTGAATGAATAAGAATGACAGATATTGCTGTCATCGGCAAAAGAGTAGATAGATTTGAAATTTTAACATAAAAGGCTATTTATGAAAACAAGAAATAGGTTAGGGGAAAGAGCGGAGCCTTGCGGTACCCCTGAATTAATATTGAATTCGTTTGAAGGGAAGGCCAACTCGTATGGTACGATCTCTGAGAAAGCTCGAAATAAATCGAGTGAAGTTATTACCGACACTAAATGCAATTAGTTTTGATACAAGTGCACCATGTCACAATCTATCAAACGCCTTGGAATATCTAGAGCCACTACTTTACTTTCGCCAAAATGGTGAATGGAATGACAGCATTTCTCCAAAAGAAGGCCAGGAGGCCTCCCGTAGAGCGACCTCTACTAAAGCAATACTGGCAGTCGTTAAGTAAATTGTTGGTCTTTAGATATTTGAAATGATGGCAATTAACCATACTTTCCATAACTTTGGAAGGTGCAGAACAAATTTGCAAATGGGCGATAATTTTCAGGGTTATTAGCCTCTCCCTTTTTAGAAATTAGCATTAGCAATCTATGGTATAGAATGATGAAAAGATTAACTAATGGACGAGCTAGCGTCGAAGACCACTGCTTCAAGACCAATACCGGTATGCCATCAGGTCCAGGAGATTTATGCTGAGATCCGCTAAAACGTTTTTAACGGCACGCTCAAAAAAATATATTAGGAATATGTAGTTACTGATACCCTTTCGAGCTCGAGCAGTGGTTGATCGCTTTCCGACAAGCAAAAATTACTTGCGAATAACTCAGCTAAAAGGTTAGCTTTATCTACCGGGTCGTTGAATGTTTGATCGTCCCTGAAAAGCATCGGAATTGAAGAACTAGCATTATCCATTATACTTTTTAAGAATGACCAAAAGGTTTTGTTGCCTCTTGAAGCAGCCAGAGCTTTAGTACGAAGGTGATGCTCGTGTAGAGCTTTTTCGCGCCTAAGTCGAAGATCTCGCTTTTTTGAGCATCGTGTCAGTTTAGGCGCAAGTACACATTAAACCTAAGACTTACATAAGTCCATATATAGGACCTTCTTATAAAACTAACATTAATTTACAAAACATACTTTAATTTGATGGTTGGTATGTTCTATCTTGGGTCTGCCTTTATCGTCATAGGTCTAAGTAGTAAGTATTTGGAAGAGGATCCTAATTCTTTCCTAATTATGTTTTTCGGTCTATTATTAAACATATTAATATAGAAAATTTACATTGCAGATCTCTAAATCGTAATCAATTGATTCAAGCATATGTAGGGTATAAACCGCATTCACGTAAGACCAAAAATGGCGAAATTTTAGCACCAGTTTTCAATTGCTATTTCTAATTTAGATTGTTGGTATTGTTAAACTAGTTGTTGTTGTTGTTGGGACTGGTGCTGTTGCAATGACAATGTGCAAAAAAGTAAGTTTATATTTAAATTATGCAACATTTGTGCACTCTGCAATCTGGTAACTTTTTTGTTTTTGTAGAAAAAAATATTTACAATACATTAATAGCCACTGGCTCTTTTTTGTGTGTTAATACGGTTTATGGAAATGAGTTCATTTCCTGATCAATAATCAAACTTGGCAACTGGTTTTCTTTCTTACAGATGATGATAATAATAGTATGTAATAGAGTATTTCACTCCTTTGTGTTTCGGTGAAAAAAAAAAAAAACAAAACGAACGTAATTGTAAATTTACTACATGAGTTTCGAATTAAAACGTCCATATAAATTCAATGTTGCGTTTGTTAATGGCATTGACTTGAGTTTGTTTCGGTTTAGGCCAGGGCAATGTTTGTATTTATGTGTGTGTTTTTTGTTAGTGGGAATTATTTTCAGCAGATATTTACCCCACAAGTAATTTAATTCGGGTTTTAAGTTGATTGTAAAATATGTGAAAAATACATAAAAGCCATAAATTTAAAATTGACTTAATTGGTTGTTATCTTGTTCTGCTACCGGGAAACTATTTTTGAAAAAAAAAAAACATTATGGAAATTTGGTCAATATCTCATTATCATTTTTCATATCCTTAAAATGTATTTTTATCTTAATTAGCTTCTATATAAAGTACTTTACTTTCAGCACCTACCCAAAAAGCAACACGTTAATTATTGATTATGGGGTGTTGTCCTACAAAGTTTATAAGGTTCATAGTCCAACCCCTTAGTTTTATTTACATGCAATTTTTTCATTAACCACATAATTAAGATGCGAATAAATAAATTACAATGTTATTAAGATTTATTAAATTAAAACACCACCACTACCACCAACAACAACATGCATTAATTAAACACATGGGAATGGAGTATGAAACGATAGAAGTTGTAGGAAATACTTATGGGTACTAGAGGTTTACTCATTCCACACCCAGTTTTTCGGTTTAATAATAAAGACAAGTGTACGTATGAACGAAAACATATCAACAATATGCCCTGGAGTAAATGTTTATTTAAATTATGTCGAAGAATAAAACATTGTACAGAGGGACAAATAAGACATAAAGCATGTGAATTCATTAATATTGTCCACTATAAATAAATACAGATGTACATATGTATGTGTGTAAGCACGCTTCTAATGATAATATAGAAAATCGATCCAAGTCATTCAAAATATAGCAGGATACACACACAGAAAGACATTCAATTGTTATCTTTTCATTCCATTTTAAAGACTATTAAATCGTCCCCGAAACTTATCACATAATTAGAAATGCCACTAATTTATATTCCAAGAATCGGGCTGAATATTAAGTCTAGATGAGGCGGCACTTACAGCCAAACGGCTCATAACTTTAGACTAACTGAGCAAAGGCGATTATAGGACATGTCTTCAATGTATACTGGACACATTAGAACGCTATACACAAACATTGGAACCCGATCGCATATTAGTAACATAACATATTTATATTCTGAAATGTCCAACTGGGATGTCGTGAACTTTAAAAATCTGATTCCAGCTAGAACTGATGGTCCGTTGTTACGAGGATGGTTCTAAACAAGGGGACAAAGGGGGCCTGTTCTATATTGAAGAGGCAGAAACTGACATATATAACCGTTCACCTCATCCCAACACTAGCTTGCAGTCAGAAGTCCGAGCAATAATTATATACATAACATATTTATCGACAGCCAGAAATCAATTAAGGCGATATCGGTAATATGGTTAAATCTAAGACTGTATAAGATTGTAAGAAAACTTTAACTGACTACGCTCCCAGAGATAATGTTTACATCATATGGGTACCGGTCCACTCGAGGGCGTTCGGCAATGAAAGAGCGATTGAACTAGCTTTAAACGGAAGGGAGCTTGATATAGTTAACCTGACTAACACAAAAAGATTCGACGCAATGAGGGCGTCATATTTTCTTTATATAATTGTAGAGGCATTGACCTGTGTCGACGAGTAGTACCCAAGGTGGTGTAATTCCTCTTTATAGCCCCCACCCGGTGCATATAACCTTAATAATCTTCCATATCTTGGTGTTATTGAAATCTTTGGGAAAAGGGGTGCTGGCAATACCTCTAGTCTGTCGGGACTATAAACTGGTAAAGTCAAATTTATCCTCGGCCTTTTCTTGTAATGACTTCGCCTGGCGTCGAACCAGGGAGCGTTTTAATCTGGAACCAAGGAAACCTATACAGGGCAGAGTTTTGGACTTTGTCTTGTTCCGGTTATTGTTGTTAAAACCCAAACTCGCGGGAAGAGAATGTTGGTTAAAAAAACTGATACATACAACAGCACTGAATCAGTCTGTTACCAAGACAACAGATACCCCGCATTGGAAATGAGTTGATTTCCATGATACCGGATTGATGTTGGGGTATGCGGGCCTCACCCATACGTATACCTAGAGTAGTGAGTGTGTCGGATGAATGAGAAGGGTGCATGGTCGAAGTATCCTTCTTTGTCCGGGTATGTTCTTGGTTTACTTAGTTCATACCAGATCTGTGAGTAAGAACAAGTCCTCGTCTTATTTGATATATTCATATTTCGATCTACCAATTACGTCTCGGGGTGCTGTTACCGAACCGACAACCCATTTGCCTGGTTGTAAACGGAAGTGTTGTTTTTGCATATCGAAAGTTTAGCAACGGGGCAGCAATAGATTTTAGATAGCTCCAGTACGTAAGCAAAGTCCTTGTACATTGAGCGGCAGAACCATGTATAAAAATTGCCATTACCGTGTAAGAAGACCAAATGAAACAATACATCTAAGCTATTCGGTCTACGTTAACAGTTTTAAACCACAATTCCAAACATTACCCAAGTTAAATAAAAACTTGTCAAAATATAAAGTTTTAATTTAATGTTTCTGTTGTTGCCTTAAGTGTCTTAACAGTCTTATAATCTCTTGATTTCCACGTTATCATTTTTGTTTAAATTATAAAAAGAAATTAAAAGAAAACAATGTAAGTATAAAGTTTTTGTATATTTAAATAATTATGAAAAAATATTTTCATTTTTAAACAATAATTAAATATGTATGTGGTATGTACGAGTATTTGTGCATTTTATATTTTTTTGTTTTCTTAAAATTTAATTTAAGAATAACAATGACAACTATCACGACGACACATTCCCATCCAGTGATTTAATTTTTCACAATAAAATTGACAACGTGGATGATGGGGATGATAGCGGGATATTTCACGACACAATTCCCTATCCATGGCTATAGCTCGTGATTTAATTGAAGCTATTGGTAAGTTTTCGGGATCACCATTGTCTTCATCGCCTCCATAATTGTCATCGTTTTCAGCGTTTTCAATCGAATCATCACCATCGTCGAAATCTTCTACATCGCGACGTATCACAGATGCTCGGGTTGTCAGTGCACATATTGCAATCAATATTAGTAATAATTGTAAAATTCTCATAATTGTTTTTTTTTTTTATTTTTAATATTAATTATTATTATTTTTTTTTTAATTTTAATGTTTATTCGTTTTGAGATTAAAAGTTGTTTACTATTCAAAGTTTGTTTTAAAACTAATAAAACGGGAAGTTGTGCACTAAAATTCAAATCAAACGTAAATACATACACACACACATGTAAGTATGTATGTATAATGTTCTTTTTTTTTTCAAACACTTACTTAAAGTAAAAGATTGGTTTAGTTTTCTTATCAGTTCAATGTCGTAAATGTGCAATTTGTTTATCAAAAACTAAAAAAAAACAAAGAATTTGAAATTTATTTGTATTTAAGAATTTATTTCAAAACCGTAATTTTTAAATATGAAGAGAAACATAAAGACATTAAGCTGACCCCTATAAACATTATTTACGTTCTCAGCATGGAGACTTTCTTATCACTTGGAATGGCCTTCAAATATATATGTACATATATACTCTCCACGTGACCTATTATTGTCGGACTAAAATACTTTTATCGTTATTTGTTATCTTTATTCGAAAGTTATGAGCAGCAAAGGTGTAATTAGACCAATTCTAGCTTATGCTTCAATAATCTGGTGGACTGCTTTGGTCAAAAAGTGTAATATCAAACTACTACTTACAGCGTACATGCTGCTTGAGTATAAGTGGTGCCAACAAATGCTCTGGAAACGTTGCTATATATTCCACCCATTAAAACATATTTAAGATATCAGGCGGCGCTTACAGCCGAATGGCTCTTTAATCAATGTATACTGGATACATTGGAAGGTTATACACAATCATCGGACATGCCTGATTGCATACCAGACACAGAATATGTCGGGAAATTTGAAACGTTGATCCCAGATAGAATGTCTATATTGAAAACCCAGAAACAGAAGTCCGAGCAATAACGGCATGTGTAAATTGGATTAGAATAAATATGGCGTCCACATCCCTTAATATATTTACCGACATCCAGAAGGCAATTAAGCATGAACATTGACAACTTTGTCAACATTACATAGTGTTGTCGTACGTATGTATATACTTTGACAACGGATGTTATTGAAAAATTATAAACTATATTACTCATTTTCAATGTCAAACAAACCTTATTCCTATAAAAAAAAAATGATCACCCTAATGAATATACAATAATTTATAGTTATGATACCAGAATATGTAAAATACAAAATTTGTAGTGCCACTCTATTATTTCAATGAGTTGTAGTAGATTATTTTTAGTTTTTTTTTATACCCTTCACCTTCGTGAGAAGGGTATATATAAGTTTGTCATTCCGTTTGTAACTTCCAAAAAATAATTTTCCGACCCCATAAAGTATATATATTCTGAATCCTTATAGATAGCGGTGTCGATTAAGCCATGTCCGTCTGTCTGTTCAAATCAGTTTTCTGAAGACCCCAGATATCTTCGGGATCCAAATCTTCAATAATTCTATCAGACATGCTTTCGAGAAGTTTCCTATTTAAAATCAGCAAAATCCGTTCATAAACAACGGAGATATAAGCAAAAATCCGAGACAACCTCTAAAAATTTCATAAAAAATAAACAACAACAACACTGCTTATTCATTGCCTTTGTATTTTGTTTTTTTTTTTTTTTTTTGAGTATTTCGTTTCGTATGTTTGGATGGCTGTGTGTTTCATTGCCTTGTTATACCCTCCACCACCATCAGTGGTGATAGAGGGTATATATAACTTTGTCATTCCGTGTGTAACACCAAGAAATATTCATCTGAGACCCAACAAAGTATATATATTCTGGGTCCTTATCAAATTCTGAGTCGATTTAGCTATGTCCGTCTGTCTGTGAAAAACACGCTCACGATAAAACGAAGCAATAGAGTTTAACCAAATTCACCCAAAATGTTCTTCATTTTCCTAAGTTGTTTGGTATTGAAAATGGGCAAAATCGGTTTACACCGGGAAAAGTTATGAATCAAAATTTAAAACAACCTCGAAAAAAATAAGCATTTTTTATACATTCTGATGTAATTTTCTCGAAAACTATACAAGATAATTCTTGATCTCTGCTGAAAATTGCCAGAATCGGTCCACAATTTCATATACCTTCCATACAAAAGTACATATTCCCGGAAAATGGGTTTTTTGTTAATAACTTCCGTCACAATGTCGATATCTTCACAAAATTTTACAAATTAAAATCTTATGTCAATAGAATTCTTTCAGAGAAAAAATTTTCTGGATCGGTCCATAATTGGACATAGCTCCCATACAAGGTCCCCTCCCGAAAATCACTTAAACGCGCATAACTTATTACTAAATTAAGATATCCATATAAAATTTGGTACAAAAATTGACCATATGCACAGAAATATTACTGTGAAAGTTTTTTCCGATCGGTCCATAATTGGTCATAGCTCCCATACAAGGTCCCCTCCCGAAAATGACTTAAACGCGCATAACTCATTACTAAATTAAGATATCCATATAAAATTTGGTACAAGTATTACACATATGCACAGAAACATTACTGTGAAATTTTTTTCCGATCGGTCCATAATTGGTCATAGCTTCCATACAAGGTCCCCTCCCGAAAATCACTTAAACGCGCATAACTTATTACTAAATTAAGATATCCATATAAAATTTGGTATAAAAATTGCCCATATGCACAGAAATATTACTGTGAAAGTTTTTTCCGATCGGTCCATAATTGGTCATAGCTCCCATACAAGGTCCCCTCCCGAAAATCACTTAAACGCGCATAAATCATTAGTTAATTAAATATACATATAAAATTTGGTACAAATATTACTCATATGCACAGAAATATTTCTGTGAAATTTTTGTCCGATGGGTCCATAATTGGTCATATCTCCCATACAAGGTCCCCTCCCGAAAATCACTTAAACGCACATAACTCATTACTAAATTAAGATATCCAAATAAAGTTTGGTACAAGTATTGCATATATGCACAGAAATATTACTGAGAAATTTTTTTCCGATCGGTCCATCCTTGGTCATAGCTCCCATACAAGGTCCCCTCCCGAAAAACACTTCAACGCACATAACTCATTACAAAATATAAAGTTTGGTAGAAGTATTGCTCATATACAGAGAAATATTACTGTGAAATTGTTTTCCTATCGGTCCATAATTGATCATAGCTGCTATACAAGGTGCCTTTCAGAAAACACTTAAAGGCACATAACTCATTACCAAATAGTGATACCCATAAAATATTTGGCATTAATACTATTTTTGTATACATAAATGTTATTTCAAAATTTTTTAACAATTAGTCCATCCTTGGTCATAGCTCCCATACAAGGTTCCCTCCCGAAAATCACTTAAACGCACATAATTCATTACCAAATATTGATATCCATACATTTAGCAAAATTATTGCTAAAATTACACTATAAAATTGTTTTACGATCGGTCCATATTTGGTCATAGCTCTCATACTATGTGCCCTCCAGAAAATCACTAAAATGCACAATATTCATTACCAAATAATGATATAGATACAGAATTTTGAAATTTTATCTTTATATGTATACATAATTCGTCATAGCTCCCATAGGTCCCCTCCAGAAAATCACTTAAATGCACAATATTCATTACCAAATAATGATATATATACAGAATTTTGAAATTTTGTCTTTATATACATAATTCGTCAAGGCCCTTTTACGAAAATCTCTTAAACGCACATTACTCATTACCAAATAAAGCTATTGAAACAAAATTTGCCACAAATATTAGTTTTGTATACAAAAATTCTATTTCAAGATTTTTCACGATCGGTTCATAACAAGGGTGCGGTCGGTTCCATACAAGGTTCCCTTCCGAAAATCACTTAAACACACATTACTTATTACTTAATTACGATATAGATATAAAATTTCACTGAAATAAGCTTTTATGTGCAGAAATTTAGCTTAAAGAATTTTTTACGATCGGTCTATAATTGGTCATATCTAGGTCCTGCCCCTGAAAGCACTTTAACCGTATTTAACTAGTTGCATTATCAATTTGTGTAGATTATATATATGTATTTTGAAAATCCTTTAATTTTTCACACATATGCATACATGCAAATTACTAAATATCGCTAAGCGCTATAAAAATATAAAGAAAATTGCGCTTGTAGTGTTCAATAAGTCTTGGAATTGTAATAGATTTAAGCTGTTTAAATCTTGGGATTTTTCTATTTAAGACATGAGATAACTTATTTCTACGAATATTTGACCAATTAGAAAAGTTTTAATATAAAAGTAGCTGGTGGAGGGTATTTAAGATTCGGCTCAGCCGAATATAGCACTCTAACTTGTGTACATTGTTTTTGTTTCTTGGTGCATTCAATTTCGTATGTTTGGATGGCTGTGTGTTTCATTGCCTTGTGTATATTGTTTTTGTTTTCTTGGTGTATTGAATTTCGTATGTTTGGATGTCTGTTGGTTTCATTGCGTTGTGTATTTTGTTTTTTTCTGTATTTTGTTTCGTATGTTTGGATGTCTGTTGGTTTTACTGCCTTGTGTATTTTGTTTTTTGTGTGTTTATATCGTTTAGCGTTGTTGTTGTTCATTATGTTTTGCTATTGCTATAATAATGATATAGTCGGGAAAATGAATTTTTAAATACACTATGGTGAAGGGTATATAAGATTCGGCACAGCCGAATATAGCACTCTTACTTGTTTATATCTAAATTAAAAGTGCGGGTACATGTTACATAAAAACACTATTCATATACAAATTTATTTGTATATAAAAACCACAAATCGTAGTGCGTCGTTTGTAAAGTTTTTGCATAAGATATGTATGTGAATTAAAATCAAACTATTTATATATAGTATAAAATAATAAAATGTTTTCGTAAATACTAGAAAATTCTAGACATCTGCCTAATTAAAAAAAATTAATTTTATAAATCATAGAACTAATTTTGATCAAGTCCATAACAAATTTATGCATCTTTTATGGGAGATATGACTTATTATGGGTTGTTTCGAAAAAAATTTAGAGAATTATTTGTAAATATATACACAAAACATATTACTGCCGAATTTTACCCCCAATATCATTATTATTAATAAATTAAATTAATTTAATTTAAGTGATTTTT